CAGAATATGTATTGTGGCTTGGGGCTACTGCCATGACCTGGAGGCCAGGCCCCCAGGTGGCGGTACGATGACGGAGCCCCTAATTAGTCCATTATCAAAACCGAGAGTTAAACAAGAAAATTAACTCATTACAAATAAGTGGTCAATTTTGAGGGCCCCATTTGATTGACAATTATTCAATTTAATTTGATGACATTTTCACCTTTGCCAAAAATGCTTCGGTACCTCAGTGAGGGACGAATGTTCTGTATTGAGTGGCCTCCCCTCTAATTTAGCCCACTTCGACGCACGGTGAATAGTAAGTTGGTGGTTGGTTTTACGTATATGAAGATTCCATTCCAACTCAGTAAAATATTAAGGCAAATTTCCCAAAAGAAATCGGTCCTCTGAATAGTTAAGGTTCAAACGCGCAATGGAGAAGCATTATTCTGTGTCGATTTCAGAATTTTACATTTGAAAATTCAATCATGGGTCTTAACAGGTCTTACTTACAATCCGTCACCTCCATTCGGTTGGCGATTAACCTATTAATGAATCTTATTTGAAGGAAGGCTCTACTTTTCTTGCGAAGGTAAATCGTGATTAATTTTGGGAACATTTTGTTGGAATTTGCCTTGAATACGCTACCAGCCCCGTTTTCAACCAAGAAATGTGTGCTTTAAGGGGAAAATTTGATGGGAAAAGTCTTATTTTATGTGTCACTACCACGTTCAAAATTTTGTTGAGTGCCCCCTGCAATTGGTGGAGTGATGCAATAACTAAACAAGTAAGCTTGCTTTGTTTTCTCGGTTTTCAGTGCGGGAGAAAATCGCCTATCGACAGCGCAATGCAGTGACCATTCAGCGCCACACGCGTGGATGGTTGGCGCGGAAACGTGTAAGCTGCTTCATTCGGGTAAATCGAGCCCTTCGAGGGATGACGAAGGAGCTTGAGGAAGTACGAGAGGCCTACAAACACCTTCCAGAATTCCAGGGTAAAGGATATGCCAACGTAAGAACGATTTCACTCTCCTTTTGTTTTATTTGTATGTCATTAAATAATCCCTTTTTGAATGCATTTTAAACGAAAAGTGATGCAAAAACCAAACTGCCCTGATCGTAACATGACCATGTTCAACACTGGTAAAGAAGTCTGGATGTAATGAGGTCTTGCGGTGGCTTGTCACGGCCTCTTGAGTGAAATTGATGCTTTTCATAGCCTTTTGTGGGTAAACTGTTCCTAACTCGTTTAGTTTATGAATATGAAGGGTGATTGGCAGGGTTTTCAAGGCCCATTTCTACACCAGTTGATTGACTTGATTCACTAGAGTACTGTCTTAAAGTTGTTCTATCGAACGATCTCAGTTGAATGGCTCCCAACCTAGTGGTGGTGATCTATGCTAGGTAGTGGGTGATCCGACAAACACCGGCGGCTTTTTTGCTATTGTAGCGTTTTCTAATCCATCATATCATTATTAGACAGTTGTTAGACATGAAATGCACTTACTTATCACTTATTGTAAAAATATCACAACTAACTGGTTATCACCATTGGCAAACGGAAGAGATAGCTTAACGAACCCAGAGGTCTCCCGCTAAAAGATCTGAGATAACACTTCTTTCAAAGGGTGTGTTCATTAATGTCAGGTTCAGTTGATAACAGTGGTGAGAATTGGCGCCTGTCTTGCAGGTGGACCAGGCAATGTTTGAATTGCACGAACTTGAGCGACGCATCCGCCAAGGTCCAGGTGCCATGAATCCGGAGGAGTTGCAAACGAATTTCGAAAGACTTCAAACAAATGTGAGAGAAGTGCAAGCGGAGGTGGTGGAACATCAACGTCTGGAGAAGGAGAAAAGGGGGAAGGAAAGGAAAGCGGAAAGTCTCAATGAAGATTCTCTTAATATGGCACCCCCGATAAAGCTCCGCAACGTCGGCAATCTCCAATCAGCCGTCCCGAATGATTTACTCAATTCGTAAGTCAGCCTCTGCTGCTCCGCAGTTCAAAAACACCTTCATGCTTGAATAATGCTTACTGATTTCAGTAGTCGCTTTAGAGTTGAAGCAATTTTACCATTCCCTTTGCCCCTGTTTGATTTTAGGTCCAACGGTAGTAGGCAGGTTCATACGAATGGATTGGGTGATATTTACAGGGATGGAAGTGAAAGTGTATGTCTGCAAGTCCTAGTTCAATTTTTTGTCTCCATGGTTTCTTTTTTTTGCATTGATAAATCTAACATGGGCCTATTCATTTCCTTAGTAATTAATAACTGTGTTTCTTAAAAATGGCTAATTAATGCATCAAAATGAATGCCCTTTCGGGTACTACTCTGGCACTTTAGTGCAAAATTGCCTTAAAAGTTAAGTAATTGCGATGACAACATAGGTTCAAAATCATAAAGTAGCTCGTGTTTATTCTCTGCGAGTTGGTGTTTAAACTCTCCATGTTTGTTTAACCCAATGGTCAATCGTTCTTCTAATTGGGTTTCTAGACTCCCACAAGTTTCCTGACCGATGCTGGTTCCACTGAAACAATAAACTTTCTAATACAACGAATACACGACATGACACTCAAAGAAATAGAGTCACACATGGACTCTACTAGCTGTAAGTTTATATTCTCGCCTTTTGTCTTAGCATCGTCATTCCGATTACGTTGAGGGGTTTAACTGTTCTACTCGAATTATTTTAGCTGAAATTGAGCGAAGATATTGCGAACGGGAGATTAAATTACGTTTCATTGCATATAAGGACTTCAAAGGCGGTAAACGTTCGTCCACGCTGCTGCAAAATGGTCGGGATGGGCGCTCGCACTAACGTCATTTCCACTCCAATTTGGCTGTTGTACATACAGACACCTGTAACCCGCACCTTGCATCTCATTTCATGGCCTATTTTCGCCTTCACTTCTTTCCTCACATTTATGTGGACTATTTTTAAAGCTCGAAATGTGTTCATCTCGCGAGTATGTAAAACTGTGATTTAAGAATGGTCTTATTGCCTAAACAATAAATCCCAGCGTTGATTAATAAATAATTAGTTTGGTACAACGCGAACAATGGATAATCTTCATTTATTTACTTTTGGTGATCGTAAAATCCGACTAAATCGGTACTCAGTGGATGCTACTGCAGAAGCGAAGCGAGATAGGGAGATTAGGTTTGAAATTCCATTGGCTGAAACCGCCCTTGACTGATTGGTCTGCGCACACCTGATGCCTGGACGTCAACTTCAACGCCATTGGCCGAAATTTGGTGGTGCCTGCAACCTTAGAACAGGATAAAGGAAGGCAGGACAGGATAGGCAACATACCACCTTTTTGTTGCTTCTGCACGTTCGTTTGAATGAATTTTTGGTTTCCCGCGGTGGTCATTTTGGCCGGAATTGTGGCCTACCTCTGTGTGACCCCTGGGCCGAGGATTTTCGAGCAAGACATCGTCCTTAATCAACAGGCCATGCGATGCTTCCAATTTGTCACTAATTTTAGTCGCTATCCCTCGTGGTTGGATTCAGTCAAATCTGTCACCTCGGATGTCGACCCCTCCAGTGCCATAGTTGGAACGCAATTTGAACTTCTCTTCTCGAAAAATTATGTTGGTAAAGCTTTGTATTCAGCGAATTCATACAAGAATCTTGCCAATTTATAAATGACCAACCGTTAAGAGGCTAGAATTGGCGTGAATAATATTTATGCAGTTGAATCTTTCTATCCTCTTGGCATTCAAGCAGTAGCATAGCTACAACGCATTATATTTCTATTACTAGTTCTAAATTTGTTATATTCTTTGCGCCTCTCACAATGCCCCAAATCCAAGACTGTTTGAAACTATTGAAAGGTTTTATTTTCAGCTCGGCAGTATTAGAGGAGGCCGTTTTAATTTTTCCGGGTCTTTGCAGGAGATTCTGTACCACTTAAACCTTATCTACGTATTGCGCAGATGGCTAGATTCCGACGGTGTGCACAGGATTTTACTAAACCGCGAAGAGCATACGCACCGTGGGCGGAATGGGAGTGGCCGTCCAAAAGTGGAGTTGATGGATGGCGGGTATATCACGGAGGCAATTAGGCGCACCTCATTTTAGGCGTTCTGTTTTTAATGCTAGGATCAGTTCGCATTAACAATGGGTAATGTTACGAGGATAAAAGAAGACAAAATATGTAGTCAATGGTAGAGGGTGGTTTACTTTCCCCTATTTCGATGTGCAATTTAAGGGGAAGTAAGCAAATTCTACGCCTTTACACATTTTCGTAGTTGTCATCGTAGGTAGATAGGTGATGAATATATCAAACAGTAACTTTTATTTCTATTCTTCGGAACAAAGAAATGGTCAAAGGCAGACTGTGGTAAATTTTTCCATTTGCTTGTCTCTATTTAAGAGAACAACAAAATGAAAGCCGAAGTCCTTGAAATAGTCGAGGGGATGCGCTTTTCTATTGGACTGAATGATCTTATGCAAACGGTGATGAATTTCACCGTTAAGAGTCTTCCGAAAGGCTCCTGCAAGATCACCGTGACAATGACCTCGAGGAAGAACAATTTCCTCTCTAACGTGAGTTACCACTGATTTTATACGTTTGCACACCTCATTAGCGAAACGGTAGCTGATAAATTGTAAAAATATTTCCTTCTTCGTCCCAGCTGTCAAAATAGTTCCCGTCAGGTAACCTAGCAATGATTTTTATAACATTTATCTAAATTGCCTCCTGACCTAATTGGAAGAGATGGTTATTAATAGGGAGGTGTTGGGGGGATAATGCAGCACTGATGAAGAATAGGAATTCATGTACTTTCCTTGCCTTGCCTCGAGGCTTTCCTGAAGACGAAAGAATACGTAGTACTCGGATAGAATATTCAGTCTCGACGTAGAGTAGGGCTTGATACCACTGATGCTACTGGCCGTCCTGCAGAGGTACAGTGGGGGCCCCCAAGTGGCTCGTTACTAAAACCTAGAGTTAAAAACAAGTAACGTACTATAGCGACCAATTAATACATTCAGGGTCAACGATTTAGCTCAATTTAGATGCAGAAAATTAATTTGAAAGCAAACTATGTTGCCAATTTTCATTAAGGAGTTGAAAACTTGTTTACACCTTTTGTGTTTACTGTGCTAATGCACCTCCATTACTGAATAATGCATTAATTGCACTGATGAGAAAAACGTGAGTAAATTATAAGGGCGGCTGTGTGAATCTCTCCACTAGTTGTACCCCGGTTGTGTCGGTTAAAAGTAGGGGAGATTGGCCCATTCCCTCAACACGGCTCCTCTGACATTTACCCTCTGTAGTCTTCTACCTTGACCTTTAATCAAGGTCAAGCGCAAGGTCTGCTGCCGGTAGGGAATTTTCATTTCACATAGCCACCAACCGCCCATAAAATGCTACCTTATTGATTGCGGGACAAAAAAATGATTGATACGCAACCCTCTTCGTGTAGTTCGGCGTGCATGCTTTTGGGCATGTTAGAATGGAATCTATTATTCCGGCCATTGCACGCCATTGTCGGCGAAAAAGGAAAATTGCGAAACGTTGAGTGCCGGATAAGTGACGGTGGAGTGGGGGGAAAGGGGAAGAAAAACAGACATTTGAAATTATTGTCAACCCCCTGTCGAAATGTTACTACCATTTCGCTACTTTCAATGCCTTGTAGTTACTGTACCTTTAGTGGGTATAAGTGAGTAACAGAGACAGTTTGGTTTCGCTTCAGTGCAGAAGATAAAAGAAATTAAGCTGGAAGTAATCGTTTTAGGCACAGATGAAATCTGGAACATTCTGGCAGTAATGACTGTAAATTTGTTGGCCAGTCTGGTTTTGCATTGATGACCGAATGACCTGAACCTCGCTGCGTAAAAGTGACGCTTGGTCTATGTAAATTACCGCAGAGGTTGGCTACTAATGTATTAGAACTGTTATAAAATCCTGGGCCCTCTGTAGAGACCAATCCCTCGTCACATTGCCTGCTTAATTTTCGGTTTTGGCAGAGAGGCCACAATGTGCCACCTTCGGGCGGCTTGACCTTGAGACCGTGCCAGTAGCTCCTAAGCTTTTCTGTAGTCCAATAATAAGTTCTATGACCGAGTGTTATGCATTTTTTCTTCTTCAAGGTAGTCGCGAACTCTACAGCATGAATGATGGTCTTATACCAGTTAAAAGTTTTCAAATTACGAATTTTTAAATTGAGTAAACATTATTAGATTGGCCGGTGAACGGATAGTATAATGTCTGGCTTGACCTCTTCCGACAGACGGGCAAGAATGACGAGATTTTGGCCATCATCACGCACAAGTGGGTCGTGTCTCAGTGGCAAGGTCTTTGTTAAACCCCCATTCGTCAATGCCGTTAATCTTACTACTCCGCTCACTGCCAAAGCCACAATGTACATTTACAAAACAAATAAAAATGGGAGCAGTTTTGGTCTTTTTTTAAAGGAATTTAGCAAAATAACCATTTTCTAAGTTTGCGGATAACTGACGGAGAAATACGTTGGAATGTTTTTGTATTGTTGAAAAGCGAGTTCTTCCCCTCACTTATTTTGCCCAAGACTTGTGGTAGTAGTTATGTAGGCAAGGTAACGATGTTTCCACCTGTCAGGATGCCTAGCCGCAGTCACGCATGCACCCACGGAATCACGTAGTGTTGACGTTGTTGTGGCCCGCACGCTGTGTAGCGTCTTCAACCTCGTACCTGATATCCTAGCCGCTCCCCGTGCAAGAATTTCTATTGCCAAAACCCATATTTAGATAGCAGTCGGAGGATTCGTGTAAATATGTCGGTTTCGTTTTAAGCCCTCTCTCTTAGGCGCCACGAACGCTTGGACTAATGACCTAAAACCGATGACATTCACTTTAATACAGTATCAGAGCCTCACATCATTTCATAAACGTCTTTAATGTCATGGTCAAAACGTCAAAAGTATTTACTAGACGGGTGAATCTTTGCTCGTGATGTTTGAAATTGCAATCTGTAGTTCGCGTTGTTGAACTAAAGATTGTTGTTTCCCGATTAATTTTACATTCCTTATTTTAAAAGAATATTTTCGAGTGAGTTTGGAATTGTTGATGATTAAATGGAGCCTACTGATCACAATATTTATGTCAAATTTTAAATGAAGGAGCACTAAAATGGTCACAGTACTTTGCACAGGATTCTGGCGTACTATTGTAGTGGCCTGAGACTTCCCTGAAGGGGGAAGGAGACATGATACTCAAACAGAATACACCTTGTTGACCTACAAAATGTCTTGGGGGCTGCCAGTGTGGTTCACAGGCCAGACTGTTTGGCAAAGGTACAGTGGTGGAGCCCCCAAGTAACCCGTTATCAAAACCGAGAGTTAAACAAATAATTAGCTTATTGAGAAAAACTGGAGAAATGTTTGGTCCCACAATTTTCTGCATTTCTAGTTTAATTTCTATGATATATCAAATCCGACTATTTCCGTTGCAGAACTTCATTGTCCCCACTGTTCGAATGTCCTTTTACAACTGGATGCTAAAGTCCCTGCTCAAATTGAAGGCATCGGCGCATTGAAATATGGAAACAGCGTAAGCCATATCTATGTACATTTACTTAAAGCCCCGAGGCCTCTACGCAGTACCAAGCAGAGAGCAGAACAACTTCGACTATGATAATGCCTTTACCTTCTATGATTGCATCCAGTCACTAATATTACCTTGTATCTCAATCGCTCACACTCTATCCCTCTCTCTCTCAATGTATACACATTTACATCGCTCTGAGATCTTTTACAAGGACCACACACAGTCCTAGATTTTGTGCATTCATATGGAGGGAATTACTTATTTTTTATGGCAAAATGACA